AGAACTAACTGGCAGAGACTACGACAAGCTTAAATTCAAAAATAAATGGGACCAATTAAAGAATATTTGATCAAATACATTGTTATACTGTTGCATATAAACAATCATTGTACCTCTATTTCATCTATTTCCAAATCACAAAGTTTGTACTATTGAACTTCTCCACATTGTACCTCTATTTCATCGATAATTGCTCCCACTCGAATCAAAGATTTTCAAAAAACTCAACTTTGATACCACTTGCTAAGTGATATTCACTTCCTAGGAATTGCAAAAAAAAAATACCAATTTGAGAGATCCAAAACAAAATAATTGAACAAAAATGTACAAACAAGAACTCTTAAAAAAATAAAACAAAAATCTAACATGATAAACCCCAAGAACAAGAAAAAAACACGAAGGTACACCACACCAAGAAATTAGATATGATAAGGAGAAATGTACATATTACACCACACTCAACTTTCGTTATAATCCTGGAACTCACAAGCACTCCTTTTTCGATCGTACAAGAAAAATGTGCAGAAATCCATCAACTCGCAAACATCGCTTCACACTATTTGCAAGCATATCCCACAACAAAGAAAACAGACTTAAAGTCTCGAACTATGAAAATCTGTTATAGGCATTTAGGCGCACCTCCTGGGTGTTGAGTTTTAGAGCGCTCAATTTCAGAAGCTGGAAACAAGCATGTATGGGCGTTATAGAGCCTCACTAGGGCGTCGGTTGTCCGGGGTTCGATTCCTGGGCCTAGGCGCCCCTCCTGGCTCAGGATTCCTGACTGTCAAGCATCAGGGCGCCTCCATAGGCACTGGGGCTGCCAGGCATCAAGACGCCTCCTTGGGTGCATTACTTACCAATCAGACTCCACATATAACACTAATGTGCTAATGCAATCCATGTTTATTTCGCCTCTCTGTATTAAGTAGAAGCTCTGGTCATGTCAAAGAAACTTAAGACAATCTAGGTTGACACCCTCATAGCATGGCAGGAACTTTATTAAGGCCTTGACCTTCAAAAACTTAGGAGAAGGGGAGATGATTTCTAAGCCCCAAAAATAATTGATCAAGAATGAGTCTACCCCCTCTCCTTACCAACATCACTTCCAACCCATCACGTCATATAGGAAAAGATGATATTTAAGCCATCATTAATAGTTTTCAAACACTAAAGTAAAGTAAACTAGGCCACTGCAATGCCAAACAAGTGTAAGGTGTAAGACCTATCCTCCAAGATCTACATAGCACTGTAGGTTTTCAAAAGAAAGAAAAGCAAAAGAACCTACCCATTTGACAATAATGACAAAAGAGAAACACAACGAACAAGGCTAAAATCAAGGAAACAACCAAGTGGTGTGACACATCCAAAGGTCCACTGTGATCGAGCCGCTACAATATAAGACCGAGAATTTGAGCAGACAAGTCTCTAAAACATGAGCTCATAGCCACAACAATAATAACAATGTTACAGCATGATCTCTAAAATAAGAAACTTAAGCAAAAAGATTGCAGATTCATTGGAGACAAATCTCGTCACAACAAGGGAGTCACGCCACAATAACGATCATAATACTATTGGGGCAAGAGGCCCACAAGTTCACTAATATTAAAGGGAAGTTTGGTAGCACCTTTTAATAGGATTTATCACCGAATTTATAAAATCTAGCCAAACACTAAAATGTGTGAGTTCCGTGGATTTATAAATTTTCGGATTTAAGGTCCCAAATTTTAAACTTGATTCAGCTTAAATCCGGATTTACTAAATCCAACGAAAGGGAGGAATTAATGGATTTACAAATTTTGGATTCACTAATCCCTACTAACTCAAAATATTGTTTGCAACCAAACACCCCCCAAAGGTTTGCCAAGAGAAGTATCCCCACCAATCGACTCCCGCATCTCAATAAAAAGTAAAAAGAGCCACCCACAAAACTCATTAACCATAGAAATGTTAGGGTTCAACAAAAAAAAATGCCTCATTGTAAGACTTCTCAAGTCTCCCGCGTAGCGAAATCATTTGAAGATAATTAGCAATGCATGAAAAAGGAATTCCACTCCAATCATAGCAAGAAAAAGATGCTTTACCTTAAAGATGAAATAAGTACAACATCGAGCAACCTCTCAATCAATTATATGATCATAGATAGCACAAACAAACCCAAGGAATAGGTTAGGTAAGTATGACGAAGAAAGTTAATCCCGTAATAACTAATTTGGTAAAGGTTTGATCAACAAGAAAGCTAGAGAGAAAACAATGGAGAGAATGGATTCCTTGTCAAGTCAGAGGGGTGTGGAGATACTTGCACGGATTCGATAAATAGATACAGTATGCGGAGCAAAGAAGAGAAATTGTTCCAGACCAGTACACGAACTTGGCATCAACTCACCACTGCTCAACCAACACAACTCAATCTTTGGTTGCTTGTTAGTGTGGCGTGCAACAAAAAACTCCTTCAAATGCCCATATTTCAAAAGTTTTCCAAGCAAGGCTTTAATGGTGTGGCAATTGATAGTTTCATAATTGAGATCATCATGGTGCAAGGAAAATTTGCTCGTCCCTATTCTCCCCCATGAATTCTTCGTAGGAGTCAACCACATGAAATAATTATGACTTTATATGGCCACAATGATTGCAAAGATGGATAATCGAGATGAAGAAGTTGGAAATCCTCTGAATTATGTAATGAATAAAAAAGAAAAGTAAGAGGATCAGGATATTCATGATGGTTCATGCACCTGAAGTGGACACCCCAATTGAAATAGTCGATTCAACCTTACCACTTCTCAAGAAGGTTGTAGTGAGTAGGAAGGTGTCCCTTCTCTTCATGTCATGCCAAGTTAAAAAATAACAAGGTCGAGTGTTTGTTGCCTTGATTGATTGCTTAAGCATGATGTATTTGTCATCCTTTAGAGAAAGTCTATTATGGTCTCCGAAAGTTCTCGAAGACAAAAATTAAAAAGACCTTAACAAAGTCAAAGCAAATGATGACATAATTATAGAGGGACCCCTCTATCTACTTGATGAAAAAGAGAGTTTGAAAGGCATTCCGAGCCTATAAGAGGAAGAAAACTATGAGAGAAAAAGATAGTACTACAAGGCAGTAGAATTCAACAACTTTGACTACCGATTCCATGTGGAGCCCTAGAAAGTGGCAACGGATGCCATAAAAAGAGATTTCATCTTCAAGCAAATCCAAAAGTGTAATAGGGTCACTGATATCCTTGAAGCAAAGCAGGGACTTTAAGGATGAGGGGAGGATTGATGCACTCACTATGACAACCGTTATAGGAAAATAACATTTCTAAAAGGGACATAAGTTGCTTCCCCATAATCAATAAGGCGATAAGCCTTACAACAATAGGAGGTGACAAAAGAGTGTTGGCACCAACAACACCAAAAGAGATGGCAAGAAAATGAAGATTGACATTGATCTTGGCAAATTGAGCATCAACATTTGTCTGAGTGACAAAGGCTGACAATGTGAGTTGATCTCCCTAATTGGACAAACATAATTATACTCGGTCGATATGTGATTGTTGGTCAGCTCTAACGACTCGGCCAACATCTTTGATCGCAGTAGACCCAACACGTACTGGAATGGTCCTTCATTCAACCCTTGAGATAGAATGGCATGAGCTACTACGAGCTTCAGGTCTCGCACTTCCAACATTTACCTCTGAAAAGAGTGTGATGAACAAGCAAAGGTTCTCGCTCTGTCCCTGTTAAATCTGTAGGAGGGCATGTGAGTTTTTCTAAGACTCTTGAGCATTGGTAAATTACAACAAAAATATTTTCTTGAAATCAACGAACGATGTGATTGCTCTCAATGGTATTGCATTGAACCAATTAAGAGTCAACTCACTTAGCATGGTAAATAAGGAATGACACTTTAGCACGTCAGTGATCCTCAACAAATACACAATTGACTCAAAGGGGCTATGTGGTCATTTGAATTGGTCCTCCCCTTATAAGACTCCAATGTCGTAATTTCAAACCTCTCTGGTAGTTCGGTCTCAGAGATTTACCGAGAGAACATATTCTCAAGCACTCGGATGCCAATATATCTTGTTTATGACCAAATGATTCATACTCATATCATTTGATCATCATTCTTTCCTCCTTATGGCTTAGTCGGCTTTGGCTCGAACAGTTGCACTCGATCAGATAAATGTGCTTCACATTCTTCTATCAGTGAGTCCTCCCTCATTGCACTCTTCTCCTCTGGACCGCTAGATCTCCTTAGAATCGACGCTAACACATTTTTGATGTACAAAAATGAAATAAATTAAAACCTTCTCCACATTATCATTTATCAAATATTCTAAATAAAAAAAGTCTTCTCAAGTAAATGCTTGACGCAAGAGTTGAACTTAGTTATATACGTACAAGCTACTTACATTCCATAAAGGTAGGCCATAAAGCCCCTTGGCGTATGAAAACACCTCCACTAGACAAACTATAGTAGATATAAAAAAATTCATAAATAAAAAATAAAAATAAGCTAAACAGGGAAAAAATACCAATTAAAACCTAATTCATTAGCACCAACAAATATATTAACCTTCATGAAATCATCTCAATGATCACGAGTGTTGCAGTTTTAGTTCTACACTGTATACTTTACATCAGTTATATATTGTTATATGGCTTGTACTTCTTTATAGATTATACTCAGTTACATGTTGTCAATAAATCAATACTACTAAATTGGTCCCTCTTTAAAATACCTATGCTAATTTAAATAAGTTGGAAATAAATGTATTCTTGTTTAAGAAAAAATCTTCACATTTTTAGTCTAAAGTGTATGTGTCACTAAATGTTAGCAAGATCAATAAGAAAAGAATATATAGCAACCAGTGCAATGCCTAAGAACTAAAATCATAATATTCGAGCAAAATACAATTCTTTCCATTGAGGGAGCACACCAAAAGTAAACCTAAGTCTATATTAGACTATAGTATAGCATGCGACAAACAAAAGCTCAAGGTTATCAGTTTTACCTTCTTCACACGAGTAAGAATTTCAGGGCTTGATGCTACTAGCACGGAGCCCCTAGCCTACACGAAAAATAAATAGCAAAAAAAAAAAACTCAGAAATTAGCAATAAAAGTAAAAAAAAAAAAAGATAGATACAAATGCAGTTTACAGTATGACCACTCCACACATTTTATGAAAAGAAGTTAGCCGACAAAAAAGGCAAAATCTGTAAAAGGGCTAACCCACTTGCAAATAAGTCATATAGGGACTTGGATTCACGATCCTTAATGCTCGATACACTTCAAATGGATCTGCAAAAGTATGTCTTTGAAATCGCTGGCTTAAGACTATCTGGAAAATATCACCTGCAAGAATGTGCTCTTTTGCCCTCACAACAGCCTCCTTGTATGCTTCACTTGTCATAGATGACATATTTAAGGAAGTACCAAATTGGTAGGGACTTGATTTCACAGAACCGGCGGACAGCCTTGGTCTGAAAAAGAAAAGCAGATGAAAGCTTTGTGAGAGGAAAACAAGTGTCATTATGAGGAAAAAGGGATGATACTGATATAAGTTACCCACACAACTGTATTGTGCACCCGAGAAAGCAAATTTTCCAACCGATTCCTCCCAATTTGATAAGCATCCTCTATTGATGAATGTCGATTAATGTGAACCCAATGAATCACAAATGCTTTCTAACATCAGAAAAAAATCAGTAAAAGGTGACAAGATCCGAAAAATAAAATGTAGCAATGTATAATATTTTCATTCTTCTTGTTGTCATATTTGAAGTCAGGTTTATTATCTCACTAGCCAAAATAATATACAAACTGGATCATAGAATTTTATTGTTTACAAATTAGCTCGTGCTTCCTATCGTAGAACTTATCTTTAATCTTATCAAAATGTGAAATCTTTGAAGCTTATTATTCAAATTACAACAAGTTCTTCTGAATTTTTAATGAAATAACATTATACTGCAAGCCTATCATTATTATCACCATCATCATCATTAACCTTATCCCAACTATTTGAAGTAAGCTAAATGAGTCATCAATTTCATTTGAAAATGATGTGTGTTACCTAAGATGTTTAATCCATTAAATATTTTGATTCTTTGAATAAATTCTATCAATTTTATTTTGAGTCTACCTCTTCTCCTTCCTAATCCACTGCCCCTTCCTAATCGCCTAACAATATTTTTATGTGCTCATCTAGTGAATGTGTTTTCTGCCTTTCATTATACATGTTAAACCGCCTAAGTCTATTTATAATTATTGCACCTGCAATAAATGTTATTCTCCTCTCATATAATGTAACTACTAATTGATATAAACCTTACAATTTTGACACACATCCATCTTAATGTTCTCATTTCTACCTTGCACATATATGTTCCTCTAATATTTTATAAGCGCTAAATGTTCATGACATACTAAATCTAGATTTTTTAATACTCATTTGTTGTTTTTTTTTTGTTATTTTTAATACCATTTTGGCAGCCAATTTCAGTAAAATTTCACAGATCCTCCTATATTACTGCCATCAATCTCCGTTTAACATTGTTATTAAAAGTGGCAATAAATAAAATTTGCTAGAATATTGTAAGGCATTCTACAATTATCATTACAATCATATCGTATTAATGAAGTGTCAATTTCCAGGTTTCAACATGTAAAAAATTTCAATTAAAATCTAAATAAATAACGTTTAAATTCAAAATGCAATTAACAAGTTAATGGTATTCATGATGCTATCCATGCTATATAAGTCTTCAATAGCAGGAATAGCATCAACAATCAAATTTTCGAGATGCACTAAAACGAGTTAATATTGTGGAGACAACAAGCATACCTTATCAACATGATCAAAAACAATTACATCATTGTAGAGACCTAGGTGAACATCAGGAAGATTCCTATCATCCTTTGGAGAACAAGAGAAAGGAAGTTTCTTCTGTTCTACATATCGCACTGTATCATAGGAAAAATATCCTACCCATCCACCTGCAAAGACATCATATATAAACATGTTAGTTTTAAGTAAGTGGTAGTCTCTTTATTATTGTGATGTTTGGAATGTATAAACTCACAAAAAAAAGTAGTTAAATATCTTCAGAAATTTTAGTAGTTACAATAAATCATCCATAAATAAGTATGTTATCCATCAATTACTAAAATAGAAACCATCAGATTTAAATGAATGGATTACATACCACAAAAGGCATCAGGGAGCTCATCAATAAGAGTTGGATTCCAACCCTCCATGATTGTCCGAGGAACTTCCATGGGGTCCTCTACAAATTTTTCGGTCTTTAGACCTTCTTCATGATCCATTATAGACACCATATTCTCCTTCGCAACAATCTCCATGGCTGGTTGAGCTCCCACAACACTATAGCGACCCTAAAAATAACAACCAGAATTCTAAGATATATAGTCGATTTTTCAAACTCAACGATGTTTTGCTCTTTCTTGAACTCGGATTGGCTTTATCAACAGTTCGAGATGCAGAGCTAATAACTCATGTTTTCACCAAAAAAACATGGATAAGATTGGTAATTTTTTAGCAACTCACGTGAAGCCTTTTGAAGGGTATTTTTTATGATGCGAGCATAATTCTAGTACCTCAAGCACACAGATAAAAATTTCTCAAAAGCATAAGAAAAGAAAATTAATTTATTAACCTATCAAACATGCCAACTAAACCAATGAAGACAACAACAACAACAACAACAACAACAAGTCTTTGTCCCACAAAGTGGATTCGGCTACATGAATCTTTTTTTCTCCATTGTGTCCTATTGAGTGACATATTTTCATTTAATTCTAATAAATGAAGATTATTTTATACAACATGCCTAAGAATTTTTAAGACTACCTCTACCTTTCTTAATATGAGTAAAATGTCAAGCATCCACTCTCCTAACATGGTAATCAGATGGTCAGCATTTAGTGACCAAACCATCCAAGACAACTCTCTAATCTAGTTTGTCATTGGAGCTACTCCAACCCTTGCTTGAATATATTCGTTTCACATTTTGTCTCTAAGTGTAAAGTCACTCATCCACCTAAGCATTCTAATCTCGACAACACTAAACTTAATTTTAAGCTTCTCTTTTACAGGCCAACATGTTGCACTACCAATAAAATTTCATGTAAGTCCAAGCGGTACTTTTTCATTGCACAATAGACCCGAAACATTCCTACATTTCAACCATCCAACTAAAACCATGAAGACAAATGAGAAAAATAATATCTTCAATTTGTAAGCCATGAAAAATACGATGTATAATTTAATGACATCCTGCAAGAAAAGTGCCAATATCAACTGATTTAAAAATGCATTTAACAAAAATATATATGATCTCTTTTAGTTGCTAGTGAGTAAAAAGCACATTTTTCAAATAAATAAATTCGTGAGATTCCATTATCTGACTGTATAAAGTTGACATGATTCTTAAACATCAAGACACCTAAACATAAAATTTTCATTTTCACTAACAAAACAATTCAAAGTTTTCTTAGGCAAGCTCTGGATGGCTTATGGCAAGGCGCCAATGGCAGGCCTGAGAACAGGTAAAGTCAACCGGAGCACTTAAGTGCCCCATCCGATCAGCGTTGAAGTCTAGTCACCAGGCTAACAAGCTCTCATTACAAAGAATTTAAAAATATGAGAAAAAAATCAATACGATCATCCAACAATGTGATTGAAATGGATGAAAATCACATCCAATCAAAAATAGAATCTAAAGTTATTCTCTTTAATTCATCATTTTGAAATGGCAGCTCTACAAATTCAGAAGATTTTAAAAACGTCGTCCAACCTTGGTTTAAATTTCAGTCAACAGAGAGCTGAGCACAAGAACCAAATCAAGAAAAGGAGGAAACTAATAAACGAAATCATACCACGTTGGTTCCTTGAGAGCCTTGCTCCACCGACTCGAACAAAAAACTAGGCGCCTCCCTCTCGTCCTCTCTTACTAGACAACGGTAGGCGAGCACGGGTGTCAAGTGATCACAGAAAATGCATCGATAGAGCGGCACCAAGTTGCCGCCATTCCTCGAAGCTTCTTCAAACCTTGCTGCCTCTTCTTTGCTAGCTGCGAATACAATTGAACAATTTAAGTGCATTTGGTACATGAACCCGTAGAAATCATTGAATCTTCATGGCGATACAGCCAACTTCGATCACCTAATAGAGCAGAGGGAGGAGAAGAGAGAGTTCGTCTAGAGGAGCGCAAAGAAGGGAAATAATGTAGGCGGGGGGAACTGACCTGCTTCCGCGGACGGCGCCGCCGCCGTAGGGTCGAGACAGAAAATGACACGCAGGCGGGGTCAATAAGCTTGAGATGCCTAGGGTTTCCATTGATTCCTCTTCGCCCCCAACTGGAACTTAGACTCCAGATCCCTCTTCTTTCAATGACGACGCTGAGCTGAATTGAGATTTTTCAGGAGACACGGTTCACTGTAGTTCCTGGAAAGGCGGAACATGCGGCTCTATGGAATAATTAAACCAAAATTAGGGCCGGTTTTTAATTAATTTTGTTTTGGAATATTATTTATTTTTGGTATTTATTTATTTTTTTTTTTTTTGGAAGGTTTAGAACATAAAATTTTATTGTGTATTTACATATCTACTATTTTGTTACATCCTACATCTAGAAGTTGTTACATAGTAACAACATAGGGTTATATATATATAAATTTTATATCATAATTAATAGTGCACTGATATAACCAAAAGAAAAACAGAATAATAGATGAAATAAAAATTGAAATGACAAAAAGGAACTACTACTTGTCAAAAAAGCTCGTTGTTCGCAAACAACTCGTGTTTGACTCGTTAAAATTAAAAAAAATAAAATAAATATTGAAAAACACATAATATGGAAAATGTAAAACTAAAAAATTTGCTTTGGTGGAGACAATTTAAAACATAAATGAGTTTGATCTAGTACTTGTGAGCAGGGTAGTGGAACAATTAATTTTTATATTATTTGCAAATATTATTTTTTTTAATTTTAAAAATTATTTATCAAATAATATTTTAAGATATTTTTATAAAAGAAAATGTTTAACCAAACAAAACGGAGTTTCAACCTTGTGAAGAAGATCATTTAGGGTAGTTGGAAGTAAAAATTTTAGTGAAATTTAATTTTTTAAAAAAATTATGATAAGAATTATAAATATTTAGTTTTCTCTTAAAAAAATCAGAGAACAGATTTGATTAAAAAAAAAAAAAAAAAAAAAAAGAACAGAAGTCTCAAAAAACTTCTCCGTTAGGGTTTCGAGATCGGAATATGCTCTCCGCCTTGGGGTTTTACCCTCGTTTGCTTTCAGTAGGATCAGCTCCGTCGTCGCAAAGGTCATGCTATCAAATTCGGCAGGACGCAACGGCGGAGAGCCGATCTCGGCTCAGAATCCGAGAAAGACTGTCCGAGCTGAGTGCGAAAAGGTTTTTATAAAGTTCTTACATTCAAATGCGGCCACTCTTTCAAGTTCTCGTTTTCCTTAAACACTGATCTCATCATAAATTTGGCACCGAATCTTTCATCCTTTTTTTCTCGCGTCCATTCAATCACCTGAACTTATATCCTCTCAAAATTTTTTTCCTTTGTTTCTGTCTGAATCTTTCACCATAACCCCCCCCC